AAGTAGCAAACAATTCACAAAAATTGTGAAACAAAAAATGTATTATTAATCCAAAGTTTGAAAATGTACGAGTAGGCTACAACATCTTCATTTGAATGTGCGTTGTGTGACTGTTTACAGTAAGGCTACACGTTGCTCAAACACAGCGTGAAAATAAAGGCATTATATTGGTGAATTTGACCTGCTGGCTGTTTTAGGTATAAATGCCCTGTTTTTAATCTGGTTTTATCTAAACCATTTTTAATAACAGAGGATTGTAAATGACACAATTTTAGTAAAAGTCAATGACTGGGAGACTTGGATATTTTATTGCAAATCTGTTATGAACATTTAAAAACAGCCATGGGTAAATTTTACCCTTTGGCGGTTCTAGTGTTAAATTCAGTTGATTCACTTGTATTGATAGTAAGATATTTTCTTTCAGCAGCCTTCTCATATTTTTACTTCAGCAGTGTTTATTCTTGCCTTGAAAATGCATTTAAATTCATTAATATTTTTTTATAGCAATCTCTTAATCGTCAGCAGAGAAGTGAATTGCGTGACTTTCTCGCGAGAAGTGAATCAAGCTGATGCTCTCCGTGTTCCATGTGATTGGCTGTTCGCTACACATGACACACTTTCAGGTGCACACGCTCCAGAGTTAATCACAAACTCTAGATCAAACCTGAGTTGACAGAGAACGTTTATACCGAGTGCTGTGAGCCAACTGAACCTGATCTAAACCAGGTTTGATGTGCATGGGTTTGTCAAATCCAATCCTTCAGAAACTCAGGTTGTTCAGCTAGCTTCATGCAACAGGCCACTGCATGTGTGTCCATGCATGTGCTTCTTGGAGACATTTTTGCTCATCTCATATGGATGGCTCTTTCTTGGGAAGCAGTGTGTCCTCCGTTCCTTCTGAAAATGGATCCCCAGAATGTGAATCTGCTACTTTGGAGGAAGAGTTTCTTCAGCGATCCCTGAACAATGGCACGAGTGACTCCGATGAGGACAGAGGTTATGCCGATCCAGTGCTGGACGATCTTTACACACGTCGGGTGCTCATCTCCGAGCATCAGACCTCCATCAATGCTGATTCAGACAGGTTCCTGCCCAAATATTGGACCCCTGAGGAAGCTCTACATGTGAAAAAGATCAGGCTAGGGTCCCAGCGCAGGCCATGGTATAAGAAGATGCAGGGCTTCAGGTTTGTCTTATAATAGAGAGAAAGAGGGTAATTTTTTTATAGAGCTTTATAGGACAGTTGGAAAATACCAATTATTATTTTATTTTTTTACAGATCAAAATTAAACACATTTTAGATGTACTCTAGGTAGTGCCTGAAATGAAATCTATAAAATATCACAATTTCTGTTCAAAACCAAATTTGATCATATGCTTGTTTTTCACAATTTCCATGTCTGAACCCTTAAAGAGTCACTGTATCAAGTTAGCAACCCTTGTTTTTCTATTGTTTTTCAGTAAATATTGGTTAAAAAGTACATAACAGCAGCTTACATTTATGAAAATTATTGCTGACTGATATGGATTCGATTTTATACATTTTTAGAGAATTGACCATACATTTTTGTCTTAATTTGAAACACTTGTTATAGAAAAATAACGATAAAAAAACCTTAAAAACATTCTACTCATAACGAAATAAACACACTGAATGTCCCTGTCTTTTCCTTTTTTCCTTTTCCTCTGCTTTTGCTTTCTCCTTTTTTTCCTCACTCTCTGTCTCTCCTTTCTGTAGCCGAAAGATGTCTGGTTCCTCTGAGGACGACACTGATTTTGACATCACCCCTTGGCTAGCTGCACCTGCTCCAAACTTTTTTCATGATCCCAAATCCCCCCACACCTTTTGAGCCATTCTTGCGCTTTTATTTTCTTGTGCAGGAGTGCATTGGATAATTAACTCAAGCATATATATTTGGAGAAGGATATTGTAATACTAATTAAATGCAGATAATGTCTGTATTAAAATGTACTTCGTAAAAAATCTGTGTAATATTGAAAGCTTTGCTTAATTTTGATAAAACATTTGTTTGCAATATGGATGTAGCAAAGTTTTAGCAAGTGCAAGCAGTTTATACAGCAGATACTATGTATGTTTGCATCAAAACTTTGCTTCCTTTTTAATGAAGCTTGATTTTTAAGTCTAATGTAGCAGTTGTGGCCATCTTGAGACGGTAGCACATTGTAGCTAATTTGGTAACATCCATTAAATATTGGATTGTAATTTCAGTGTTAGACCCATTTATTTATAGGTGTGAGATGACTTAGCCCAAGCATGGATAAAGAGTAGTCCATCTAGCACATTTATATAGAATAAGAATGCCAAAGAATGCAAGCACATGTCCTGTGTGAACAGTCCCTAAGACTGCATTTGTGTAGTAGCTCCTATAAGACACAATTGAAATGAAACCTAGAGCACTGCGACTGTTTTGCTGTGGTTTACATTTTAAAGGTAGGGTAGGCAATTTTCAGAGCGGCTAGTAATGGCAAGATAGCTTTTAAAAGCATGAAATCCCACCCTCCCTTCAGAGAGTCTCCAAAGCCACTTCTCATTCAAAACACATGATACATGACACAGCAGAGTTTGCAAAGCATCATGACACCAGAGATGGTGTTAAACTACTTCATGTCTCAAAGCACATAGCTATACAATAATAATGAACACAAACAACAGAGAGCACTGACCTGTACCACCTGACTGCTGCAGATTAATTTCGGCATTGATAGTTGGCATTGAAATGCATAAATTCGAGTAATTAACCGCTCCGAGTATAACATCACAGGTTTCCATATCTTCCAAGTTTCAGTAGTTATGGCGTGAACGCAGCATAACCTCATTGTTTTGGTTCAGGAGGAACTGTAAAAGGTGGCTGCAGTTTCAGTTGCGGTGCTCGGTGACTGAGATCTGTCTAACTCTGCATAGCATGAAACCCGCTGATGACGTGTGATGTCTGCACGAGAAGGGAGGAGGTATGGAAATACATACTTTGACAGGCAGGTAGCACATCCTATCAATGCATTCGGACCGAATCCAGTGATTGGACGGACATTTTATGGTCCTACGCCTCACCTAAAGGATTATTAGGAACATCATACTAATACTGTGTTTGACCCCCTTTCGCCTTCAGAACTGCCTTAATTCTACGTGGCATTGATTCAACAAGGTGCTGAAAGCATTCTTTAGAAATGTTGGCCCATATTGATAGGATAGCATCTTGCAGTTGATGGAGATTTGTGGGATGCACATCCAGGGCACGAAGCTCCCGTTCCACCACATCCCAAAGATGCTCTATTGGGTTGAGATCTGGTGACTGTGGGGGCCATTTTAGTACAGTGAACTCATTGTCATGTTCAAGAAACCAATTTGAAATGATTTGAGCTTTGTGACATGGTGCATTATCCTGCTGGAAGTAGCCATCAGAGGATGGGTACATGGTGGCCATAAAGGGATGGACATGGTCAGAAACAATGCTCAGGTAGGCCGTGGCATTTAAACGATGCCCAATTGGCACTAAGGGGCCTAAAGTGTGTCAAGAAAACATCCCCCACACCATTACACCACCACCACCAGCCTGCACAGTGGTAACAAGGCATGATGGATCCATGTTCTCATTCTGTTTACGCCAAATTCTGACTCTAACATCTGAATGTCTCAACAGAAATCGAGACTCATCAGACCAGGCAACATTTTTCCAGTCTTCAACTGTCCAATTTTGGTGAGCTCTTGCAAATTGTAGCCTCTTTTTCCTATTTGTAGTGGAGATGAGTGGTACCCGGTGGGGTCTTCTACTGTTGTAGCCCATCCGCCTCAAGGTTGTGCGTGTTGTGGCTTCACAAATGCTTTGCTGCATTCCTCGGTTGTAACGAGTGGTTATTTCAGTCAAAGTTGCTCTTCTATCAGCTTGAATCAGTCGGCCCATTCTCCTCTGACCTCTAGCATCAACAAGGCATTTTCGCCCACAGGACTGCCGCATACTGGATGTTTTTCCCTTTTCACACCATTCTTTGTAAACCCTAGAAAGGGTTGTGCGTGAAAATCCCAGTAACTGAGCAGATTGTGAAACACTCAGACCGGCCCGTCTGGCACCAACAACCATGCCACGCTCAAAATTGCTTAAATCACCTTTCTTTCCCATTCTGACATTCAGTTTGGAGTTCAGGAGATTGTCTTGACCAGGACCACACCCCTAAATGCATTGAAGCAACTGCCATGTGATTGGTTGATTAGATAATTGTATTAATGAGAAATTAAACAGGTGTTCCTAATAATCCTTTAGGTGAGTGTATTTAGACCGCTTAACTTAGTGATTTCTATCAGGATGACTGTGATGAGACCAACCAACCTAACAAAATGGGTTTCTGGAACAAATCACCTACCCTGCCTTTAAATCAAGGGCTTTATATGAAAAATCTCTAATAACACGTCTGTGGCCGTTCCTTGCACTTTACTTACTGAACTAGTCTTACAGAATTCAGTAAAACATATTTACTGTTGTCAGGGTAATGTTACAAATTCTGTTAATGCAGTCATGACAACTGGAAATAGCTTTTTCATACACCTTTTCACTTTTCATACACACATTTTTTTTTGTGACTTTCTGATATGCTAGAGTCTGAAGTCAAGCAACTTGCACTGAAATGTCAAATCAACTTGTTAAATTTTGCGGGCCAATAAAAAAAACCCCAGCTCAGTAACGTGTCATTCGTGTGAATTTTTGCAACTTATCTCTGAGACTCTTATTTGTATTCACTTTTGTATAGTATGTACTTTACATTTAATGGAATAGTTCACTCTAAAATGAACATTTGAAAGCCTGTCTTCATTCATTGTAATTGCATGGAAATAGTCCCAGGTTTTTTTTTAACATGTGGGTGGGTAAATAAATGTATTTGTGGGCGAACTAATATTTAAGTGATCTTCCGTGGGTAGAAAAAAAAAATCTATATCCATCTGTACTATAAAGAGGAATTTACAATCACATATTTCCATGGTTTCCCAGATTTCCCATCAGACGCTCTCGGTACCCTGGGTGAGTTCAGCATTTGTTGCTTCAGTGGTGGTGTCATCTTGTGCTAGCAAACGCCGGATATCTTTTGCATTTGTGTTTTCATTTTGCAGCCTGCTTTTTTCTGTTTAAATGTGTGCTTTTTTTAAATAAATGACTTGTCCTTCAAATAATTTGATCATTACAAAACATTTTAGAAAGTGCTGCATGCTATAGCAGTGCCATACGTGTGTCTCTGCAATACTGTGCATAATCTTTGTTTTATGGTGTAAGCTTTAATGCATACGCTGGTTATATATTGCATCATAGTATTATACTGATTATTTTTCCTTCATTGTTGGGACTTTGTGAGCTTTAAGCAAATGGGGACTATATATACTGTATATACAGTATCTTAGTTGTATGTGTGAGTTTCTGCTTGTCTCTTTATTTACTTTATGCTGCTAATGGCAGTCTTTGAGGCTTGAATGGAGACACGGTACTGTAGCAGGTCTTATTTAACCTCTAGATGTCAGTATAACCCAATTGTACTTCTGCAAAATCCAACATTGCAATCTTTTGGTATTATGTATGGAGATTAGCATTTAAATAACCATGTCCATCTCCACTCAACAGAAGCAAATCCATGGGTGACATCCCATTGGAGCCCATACCCCAGGAATCTGACAACTGCTCCAGCTTTGACCCACTGGGGTCACGCCACGTTCACCAGAGGTCTGTTGGAGAGCTGACCCTTGAACCCTCAGCCATACAGAGAGTTCAACAAGAGCAGTTACAGAACATGAGGGCCAGAATGAAGGAAAGTGAGGCCAAGTGGCACGAAGTGAGTGATGCTTAGTTATTTGAGAAACATTCTATGTCACACTGGTGGAACTACTGAACACACCGATTATAATAGCCAAAAAATTTTAAAGTCCCCCTGTGGTGAAAATCAAGCTTTTATGTTACTTATGTCTGTGTTGTTTTTAATATGCTTTAAGACAAACCATGTGCAAATTCATAGTCGACACCATTGCTGAGTATTTTCTCTTTAAAACTGCAGTGAACCAAAAATGCGGTTTGATATCGCGTGTGTTTCTGACGTCACAAACTACCTTGTGACCAATCACGTCAACGTGTGATCGTCAATGAGTGGATCTCTGAGCTGGTGTGAGTGGAGGCGGGGCTAATTTGCATATTTATAGTACCGCGTTTACATTTTAATCATTTACTAGACTCTTTTATCCAAAGTGACTTACAAATGAGAAGAGCAATAGATGCAATCAAAGTAACAATAGGGTAGCAATATGCAAGTGCTGTGACCAGTCCCAGTAAGTCCAGCATAGTACACGTAGCAAGGCTTTTTTTATTTATTTTTTATAATTAGATATTGAATGCTAAGTGCCAGTATTAATGGATCAAGTGAACACTCCAGGTAAGGCTGTGAAAGTGATTTTGTGATCCTTTGAGATGGTACCATGAGGCGCCGTTCACCTGCAGAACGCAAGCTTCTGGATGGCACGTAGGTCTGGAGTAATGAGTCTTAAGTAGGGTGCAGAGCCAGGGGTTGTTCTGTAGGCAAACATCAGTGCCTTGAATTTGATGCGAGTGGAGTGCAAGTTTTTGAGGAGAGGTGTGACTCTTTGTTAAAGACCACTCTTGCTGCAGCATTCTGGATCAGTTGCAGAGGCTTGACAGTGCATGCTGGAAGGCCTGCCAAGAGAGCATTACAATAGTTCAGTCTGGATAGAACAAGAGCTTGGACATGGAGTTGTGTAGCATGCTCTGATAGGAAGGGCCTGATCCTCATGTTATATAAGGCAAATCTGCAGGGCAGATAGCAATGTGGTCTGTGAGGTTTAACTGATCATCAATCACAACTCTAAGGTTCCTGACTGTCCTGGATGGTGTTATGGTTGACACACCTAGCTGGAAAAGTGAAGTGTTGGGTTAGCTGGAACCACAAGCAGCTCTGTCTTTGCAAGGTTGAGTTGAAGGTGGTGGTCCCGCATCCAGCAAGAAAATATGTCTGTCAGGGTGTAGAGTAACATTCACGCTATCTTAAGGCATGAATCATTTTTCTCTCAAGAAAAAAACGTTTAAATATGTCATTTTGGTGATCAAAGATGAGTTTTAAGGAATACAATTATTGACTACAGGGAGACTTTAAAGGAATAGTTTGCCTAAAAATTACAATTCTGTCATTTATTCACACTGATTGTTCTAAACTTCTATGACTGACTGACTTCTGCTGAACACAAAGGATAATTTTAAAGAATCTTGTTAACCAAACAATTTTTGTTTCTATTGACTTTCAAGACATTTTCTCAAAATATATTTTATTTCCACAGAAGAATGAGTCTCACACAGGTAATGAAATATGATTGTGACTAATTGACAGAATTTTCAACACTTCACCTTTAAACTACTGCTAATGCCTCTATTCCTTTAAGCATTACAACCTTATATAATTGCAAAAATAATGACTGTTTCAAACAACCGTCTGCTATTTTTTCGAAACAAATAGTCCCTCTACAAACTTATGTTAGCCATTAACTTAAACATTTCTGGTGTCGTTTTCTGTGTGTTATTCCATAAAATATTGCTTAAGCATCTTTTAAGTTTTCTCCATGATGTTGCTACTTCTGGATTGGCACTGGGGGGCCTTAGCGAGCCAAATAATAGCAGAAATGTTTTCGACTGGCTTGGGAGAGAACTCTTACCCGTCTTCAATCATTCACACATCACGCTGATGTTATTGTCTGACAGGTATTTTTTTTTCACCATATTTTCTCATTTATCACTCAATTTTCACCTCTGTCATTGCAGGATCTGAGCAAGTGGAAGAGCCGGCGGCGGAGCGCAAACTCTGACCTCCACAGAAAGCGTGAGGAGAGGGAGCAGATTGAACTTACTAGTGGGGGAGGGACCAGTGCCATCAGGACTGCACCGCTCACCGGGGGGCCGGGGGAGAGGTGTTTATACTATAACGTATTTTACTCACAACAATGCACTTTGAATCTGTTTAAGTACAGATTTTTTTTAAGGAATAGTTCTACTTAAACCACAAATTATTATTTTATTTTAACCTAATGTTTTCTTTTTCTTTTCAAACCCGAATTACTGACTTTCTTTTGTGGAACACAAAATAAGGAATTAAGCAGAATGTTTGAGCTGCTGTCTTCTATAGGGTACAACAGGGCAAACGGCTCCATGAGGTAAACTTGATGGCACAAAAGCTTGCCGAAGCACTTTCCAAAACATCCGCTTTTCAAGATGCACGTGGACATTTGTCTGATCCTTGACGCGATTGTGGGCAGCAGCGCAAAGTTGGTTTTGCGCTAAATTGATCTAATATTTGATGTTTTAAGGAGATTTAAGTAGCAAATGAGAATTGCTGAAATTTAATATGATTTTCAGTTTTGTTCAAGCTAATTAAAGCAACCGTTTTTCAATAACGGAACAATATGTAAATGTATGGTATTGTGGTAAAATGCACCCCTGCTGTCGGGGCAAAAGGCACAATAATTAACATGATAAATATCTGGCTGACTTTTCCATTTTGTTGGTGGTTAGGTTCAGATGGTAAATATCTTTTATTAAGTTGGGTGTCCACCTTAGAGATAATCACCATATTTATAATGAAACCATCATATTTAAAAATATGATATTTATCATATATAATAAAATATCATTTAATGTTAATACTGTAAATCTAAATTTATTATGGAATCTTATTTGATGCTTTTAGAATCTTTACTTTTTAAAAATAATTTTGTATTTTTAAAATATATTTTTTATAATAACATATTTTAATGACAGTGTATATATTGAACAAAAAATGTATTTATCAAAATAAACAGAAAATAGTGCAAACTTATGGAGGACCAAATTACTCAATGTAATTAAATGCATAATGAATTGAATAAACCTTTAAATGCACCAGTTAATTATAAAATAATTATTTAATTAAAGATAAATGTATCGATTTATTTTATAAAATGTGTCGATTTATTTGATAAAATTCCATGAAAACATTTACGTTTAATATATTTCACAATATCCTTTCACACACATTTGTCTGAATATCAATTTTTTCATAATAAAATGTTTTTTCAAAAAGCCGTTTTTCATAATAACATGCTCAATTTAGGAATGATGGCTATTTGATGAATCATGTATTTCCAAAGCACGATTTTCCCCAAAAATGTAATTTGCTAAAGTTGACAAATGCCTATCAACAGGCAGTGGGTGGTGCTTGGTGCTAATTGGCTAATCCTTATCAGATACTTGGGTCTGGTGAGTGGCATGGTCAATTGAAAGATTTTTGCTCATAATTTGCTTATATGCGAATTCAATGCTATATCAAATGTACAGTAAATAAATAGCATTACGATGTCCAGAAATCAATTGAGTGTAATGTATCGACATGTATTGACTTGATGTTGCATGTGATAGTTTCATTCTTACGTCTAGTGTAATACAATATATTGTTAGTCCCGAGATTCTTCACGTTAGTGCATAAATGCATAGATCCGCATTTATCATTCGTGTTCCCTAATGGTCTGGTGGTAGAAATTTTAAGTGTGTCAGAGGTTCCAGGTTCTAATCCGCCCTCGTACTGATTTTGCCGGAATAGAGAGTCCGCAGCGGCATTAAGCGATAGGTTGACGCCAAAAGAGAACACTATCCGCGCCACTGATAAACAACGGGAACAAACAGCATGATTTCAAAAACATCCAGCGCCAGATCGCCTCTTATTTAAGACAAATTAACATCAACATAGGTTTCATTTGCATTAGGTATATCTGTGCTACGACATATTTTCAAAAAAATAGTGGTGGTTACAATACAGAGTCTGGCAAAAAGTGTTGGACATGTCCCACCCGCAAATTACACCTATGAGTAGATTCAATTCGGAGATATGTGAAAGATATGGTCTTAGTTAGATGGATTTGTCATGTCTGCCCTCTTCAACTTTAAACCAATTAGCGCCAAGCACCGCCCACTGCCTTTTGATTGCCATTTGTGAAATGTTCTCTATTATGAACAATCTTTGGGAAAATCGTGCTTTGGAAATACATGATTCATCAAATGGGTATCATTTGTAAATTCAGCATATTATTATGAAAAGCACATTTTATTATGGAAAAAAAAAAATATATATATTTAAACCGTAATAGTGTGTGAAAGTGGATATTGTAAAATAAACATAACACTATGTTTTTTTTTTCATGGAATTTTACAAAAGATATATACATTTAATTAATAATTAAATTAGTTATTTAATAATTTCAGAATAAACTGGTGCATTTAATTATTGTTTTATTGAATTCATTTTTTTATTTAATTTTGGTTTCGTCATTCTGCTTAACTCCTTTTGTGGTCATGGTAGAAAGTCAAGTGGGTTTTGAAAGTCATGATGATGATAACAGAATTATTATTTTTGTGAATTTATATGCCAGATTTACATAGGAGGCATGTTTTTTGCATAAAGGAATGCAAGTAGAATTTGCACTGACATACCACATTACAACAAAGTTCCGCTGTTTTGTAAATTTCCTTAGTCTGTAACACTTCACAATAAGGTGTTAGTTATTATGTATGTAGTTAGTTATTAGTTACTACCAGGGTTTCTGCGGGTCTTAATTTCCTTCATTAAAAACTGCAAAAACCCTGTACTCCATTTACAGCATTTATTAATCTGAATGATAATTTCCACATATACATTTCAAGTTCCAATTAATATATACAATAGTGTATTAATAAATTAACAGATTAAAGGGCAATTCAGTAGTTCTTTAGCTAGCATTGGCATCGCTGTTCATGTGTTTTTAAGTATCGTTCCCACAATGCTGTTTAATGCTGAATAAACCAGATGCGGTTGCATAAACCGCTAAGACTAGTCTTACAAGTTAGTTAAGATTTTTTTTTTCTTTAAGACTTTTCATAACTTTTTAGAGTCGGTTACATAAAATGAAGATTGGTTTAATTTGATCCCAAAACGTAACTGCTAGTGGGTCATAGATCTTAAAGTGTCTATGTCAGGTTAAATTTTTTTTTTTAGATATATTAAATAAGGGTTAGATGTCTGAGTGAAAATGCAATTATCATTAAAATTATTACTGTAATTACCCTACAGTAAGCTTTATAGCCATTTCTGTCAAGATTATATTTTTAAAACACAGCTGAGCTGTGACGTCAGAAGAGGGAGTCGTGCCACAAACGTTCTATTCAAGTATGGGGAGTTTTGAGTCTGAGCAGATCCCAAATCCCCCTCAAAATCCCCCCACAGCCATACACTTTTGAGCCTCCCAGGCGTGAGACAGATGAGGAGGCAAACAGAAATTTAAATAGTTCCTATCGAAGAAACATAAATATCTAGAGAGAACACGAACAGTGTAAACACGAACAGTGTAAACGTAAAAACTGGAAGAAATGTGCGCTGCAAATGACCAAAGTCTTGGATACCGAAGCAGCACTGAAGTCAGCGCGTTTGGTCCGAACAAAGTTGACCCAGGCACGGAACACAGACCTGCTTTTTGGGAAAAAGTGGACTCTGTGACCGGTTTTAACTGTGTTTTAGCACCCAGCACTACCGCAGTAATTCACCATTGTGAAAATACGCCTGCGTATACCTAACTAACTACCTAACTTAAATAGCTAACTAAATAAATAAATGTCCTAATCACTAATTCTCTCGCTCTATCACTCGTACAATTATCAACACAGCTCACAGACTCACTTTCTCAGCGCTCTGGGGAGACGTCTCCCTCTTATGACGTCAAGCGATCCGTTTGGGCGGAGGAGCAGTTTTAAGTGAGTCCTGAAAATAACTAACTTTTTCATCTTATATTCTGCCTTTAGGTATCGAAAATCATACAAAGCAATACAACAACTTGTCAAACGTGCATTTCCCCTAACTATTTTGTGTTAATCCTAATTACAAATTTAACCTGACATACACACTTTAAGACACTGGCTTAACATAATGGCTTCTTTATCTGTCTAACAAAAAGAAGCTACCTTGGCATTATTACTCAGAATGTTCTGTCATTAGCTTGTTATCAAATTCTAAGGTGCTACCACTTGGTGTTCACGTGTGGCTAATAGAGACATTTGATAGTTACACCTGTCCTCCAAGCCCTCTCCACCCCCTCTCCCCTTCCATTATCAGCCATGTGCTTTCTAGCAGAGTCCTGCCACATCCTTAAACTCCTACCCTAGGATCAGATCAGACATTCATTCCTGTTGGTTCACTCTCTTCCAGCTCCAACATGCCTGGACCCATGAGTGATGCAGGGTCCAGTGTCAGCAGCGCTAGGCTAACTGGATGGTCAACCACCTCGGCTTCACCCCTCACGAACGGGACATCATCTTCTCTGACCAGAGGCACTGACATAGAGACGCCTGACTCAGCCCAAATGTGCACCGGTGAATTCTTTAACCCTCCAGCAGCTGTTGTCTCTGAACCCTACGAGCAGCAGGGTCCAGACTTCAGCCGCCGCGATAGTTTCCTAGAGAGTTTCTATGCAGGGGGAGCACGCATATCTGCCACTCTACCAAGGGGTTTCAGAAGGTCAGAAGGTTGCTCGCGCCTCTCCACAGGCATCACACCACGTCTATTTGGAGCCAAACCCTCCAAAGTGTCCACACTACCCAAAGTGTATTCCGTAAGTGGCCATTCTCAGCCTCTATAGATTGTGTGCTTTATTCTTTAAAAAAAAGTCAGATCTGAATGTCAAGTCTTGATTATTGTTCTGGATTCTCAAGGTGGAGGCTTTTGATTCTGATTAATGTGGGGTTTTTTGTGTGTCCATTTCACTTGGTATTCAATATCCCTCTGTCTGATTTATTATGCAACCACTACTACACTTTCTCTGTGGTGTCCTCGTTTATTTCCTTTTATATAGTGGTTTTATTTTTCTGTTCCTTAAGCTTTTTTTGTACAAGATCATGGTTCTGGCGAAGTGGAATATTTATTTCATGCTTAAAAGGTTTGACCTTTTGAACATGTATAGAGGTTTTCTGTAAATAGGGATGTGCACGAGTACCCGATTAATCAAAATTGACAGCAATGATCTTAAAAACATACGTAGTTTTTCTTTTTTTCCCCAGATTGGTTTTGGCGGTATTTGGTCAGTACCTTGAGGTCTGATTCGTTTTGGGACCGCATGCCATCCAGTGGCCAGTTGCATAAATGTGTTAAGACACTATGTTAAGACTGTGCCTAGTCTGACTAATTAGCAGTTAGCCAAGTGGTAATCAGTCTTACGTTTCAGATTCAAATTAAATCAATTTGCGGTTTTATGTAAAGGACTTTAAAAAGTTATGGCTATTAAAGAAAAACAAAATAGATGACTAACTTGTAAGACTAGTCTAAGCAGTTTATGCCACCGGCCACAGATCGGAAAATAAAACTCTTCCAAAGCTCACGGTGATGAGCATGCAGTGGTCATTGGTAGAGCTGGGTGATACAGCTTAAAAAAATGATGATGATGATAATAATAATAATTAATGTCATGGTCTTTAGGAAACAAAACAGCCAATTTAAAAGATCCACTGAAATTGTTATATTCATGATGTTTAAAAAAAAAATTATTTATAGATCAGCAGTAACTTCATGTATAATGAGAATATTAAATCTATATTGGCCAGCATTATTCTTCAATGACAATTTAATCCACCTGACCTTGACCTACAGTAATTGTTAGTTTCTAAATAGTGCCTAGTCTTTCTCTCTGTGATAAAGGAGTGAGGGATGAGGAAGAGTGGTAGTTTGTGCAGTGTTCCATGTGTGAAGTTTAGTGTTTCTCTTCATCACTTGATCATCTAGCGGCTGGCTTATGAATAATGAATCAAGCCACTACTACTGCTCTGCACTCTGGGTGCTTCGTGAAACCCAAGCTAAGACTTCGGTGTGCCTTGTGTGTGCTTTTCCATGACGGGCTTCTCAACCATGTGTGGACACACGCACTGTCTCAAACAAAAGCAATTATGTTGCCTCTGTATATTGTACTGTGTTTTTAATAATAATGTGGCTTTATACAGGTACATTGAATTTAAAATTAAAGTCAACAAGAAATGGCGCATGAAAGTTATGGACCAAGTTGTTTGTTTGTAGTTTTTTTTTATTTTATTTTATTTTATTCATGGGCTTGTTAAAACCAATTTTTTTCAGGCAAATTAAAATTTTTAGTGCTCTAATACACAGTCCTAAATTGAACAGAATTCATGGTTGTAGTAGTGGTTGTTAAAGAAAATGGCCACTTTATTTATTTGGTTTTATCTTGTGTTTCTACAGATTGATGACTCTCATAAAAGCCTAATCAGTGGACACAGAGACTATTCTATCATCCCCTCATTCCTCAGCGGTCAAGGAAAGGTCACAGCCTCTGCCGAGACAGGTCACTCTCGTTCAAGCACTCATCCAATCAACCCTAAGAAAGCGGATGAAGACTGGAGAGATGGAAGGTCATCAGCGCCTCCCGTGAACTCTTTCGTCACTAAAGTGACCATGGCCGCTTCCATGATACAAACATCTCCTGTTGTCTCAAAAATAAGAGAAATTAAGGTAGGCTCCTTGACGATCTGAACCAATCCAATCATGACGTCCAGGACATCCCTGATGTACTAACTGTACTTAACTTAAACTTAAACTGTAATGATATATATAATGCCTAGAAGTCCATTTAAGACAAATTATTTCATTATTATTTTTTATCTTTCATTTATGCAGGTATGTGTGATAGTGGACATAGTTTGTGTTGTACTGACTGAAGCAGATTTCTTGAGGAAGAAGGTGTCATGGGATCCTCAGGTGTCACATTCTCTCTGTATCTCTCCCTCTCTCCCTCTCTCTCTCTCTCAGGTGGGTCAAAGTGAAATGCGAATCTGTTTGAATCAGAAGCCTAACAGCGGGAGAGACTTTGGATTCAAGGCTCACTGGGACTCAACTGGTGCTTGTGTGAAATCAGTTCAAGCAGGTAAGACTTACAATTCAAAACGGCAAAGTGTTTAACTAGAATAACTGCTCCTTTTAAATGCATCTGGGCTTTGCAATTTCACTTTATAAGAGTGAAATGTGAACCAGCTGTAACTCAGTCAGGTTAGATGCCCATTTCTACCATACAGAATCTGTTTAGAGATAAAGGGTGAAACTTTGGTGGTTTGTTTTTATGGATGAATGGGGGTAATGGAGATAATAACTGAGTACAAATTACATTTCAGAAAATTAAAGAAATCCTAAATACAGAGTTTGAGAATTCATGATTAAAGTTTGAAGAATCTTTGCATACTTGTCACAGATTAAGAGTTTGTGGATCTTTATTGTGTATCACACCGTGTGCTTGACAGTTATTTTTGTAGTTTCTTTGAATTTTTTTGAGAATGCGAGGAGTGTTTGTGACTGAACGTAAACGTTCATGGCAATACAGTGTGTCATTCTCAGGATTCTGGAGTGAGACTGAGATGAATGATTTATAGAGAACAGTGAAGGTGTGTTTTACTGTGCATTAGTCTGATTGGTTAAACTGAAAAAGTCTTGGAACCCATCCTGAAGGGAGTCTGGTCCTGAGCTTAGGATATATCATCATGAATGAGAGGAGAGGCAGCATTCATCTGTGACCTGTGCATTTACAAAAGCAGGTTAGGGTGGCCATGAATGTAGTAAATATAGTCTAAAGCACATCTCCATTATATCAGCTCTCATCTGTATTGTTGTTTAGAAGATACGGAGAGCGGTTGGTTCTGACTCCTGGCATCCTTTAATCAGATGTATTGTGTTAACAGAGTTAGGGTTGGGAAGAGAAGGCTCGGGTTGATCTCCTTCCCCAGAATTCCATTAAACACACTAACCTACATGTACTGCCTCATCAATGATGTATGAACCTGTTGTTCTTTTCTATTTAGGGCTGTCAGTCAGTTAATATATCATATTAATTAAATATGTAGTAATGAATCAACTTTTTTTTTTGTACATGTTAAATGCATTTTTATACAGTACTTGTGTGTGGAAAGTGCTCAAATGTTGGTTTCAGTACTGAAATTCAGAGTAAATTATACGTGCATTGTAAATGAATATTCTATGTAATACATAGGCTATGTACAATGAAATATATTATGAAATTATACAATGTTAAATGTACAAAAAAGTGGAATAACTACCAGGAACAGAATCAATATACAGTGAAATATACAGCATTATGCACAATGATATTGTACAATGCAATGTTCTATATACAGTAATTCAAGTTGAATAAGATTGAAGAGCTGACGTCCTGTTTGCACTTCATCAGATTAAGATCTCAGCAAATGAAAACCTTCTAGAACTTTATTTGTTTTCAATAAATATCCTATTGGTCTATATCAGGAAGTAAAGTTGATTCTGTACTCACAAACTTTCTCAGTTTAGCTTAAAGGCACAGCCTTGACGTGCTTCATCTCTGTACCTGCATCACACAGGCAGCCCAGCGGAGTTGTGTGGTCTGCTGATGGGGGATGAGATCGTGGCGTTGGGTGGATGCAGGGTTGCCGAAATGAATTATGAGCAGTTTAAGGGCAGCATGGACTCAGCACAGCAAAAAGGCACTTTACTGATGGACATCCGGCGACATGGCCAAAATGGTGAGGGTGTGGAAACTGTAAGAATCAGCCCTCACTGTGTAAACTGACCATCATTTCACCAACATAATTTTGTACTACCAACAAGTGAATGTGTGAACATAAATCAAGTAGTAATATATTTTAAACTCTTTGCCTCTTTAATGACACTGTTCATATTCAGAGTACACAATTGCATACATACACTATGGAATTGGCATATAAATTATTTCTAGAAACAGCTGTTGCAATTTGATGTTGGGTATTTCGTCTTTATATTTTCTGGCACAGTTCTTTCTGCTTTTGAGCTGAGAAAATGAAGGTGCCATTCCAGAATCAGATGCTTTATCTTTTGCTTTCTGTCACTGTGGGAAGGTGGTCTGTCTGTCTGTCTGTCAGTCATTCTCACTGTCCGGTCTGATAAAGTTGGGTTTTCTCTATTGCATCAGTAATCTTTGCTTCAATATTATCATAGGGAATAATTATTAGCACCCTTTAATTTCATTTAATGCTCACTTTTATATTAAACCGTATAATTTTACCCACTTAAAATTCCCCTTTCACAAATTACATCTAATTCTGATTTAAATAATTGGTCTAAATCACTAACAAGTTCACTAACATGTGACCTGGCATTTCTGAATTGCTGATGTATGTTTTGAATACTGGACAGACTGGGGCAGTGGCCACCCTTCCCTACCGTACAAGAGCCATAAGACCATCAATTTGACCAGTGCCAATTCAACACTTATAGGGAGGCCCGAGCACTATGTCTCGATCAGCACACCCTCAAACTCTCCAGTGGAGACTGTGGTGAAGACACAGGTCAACGGACAGCCTGCTAATGTGAGTCAGGACAGGAATATAATGAATGTGGTGGACTGTGGGAAATTGTTGTTTTTTAAATTTGTTCATTTTTATTACTTGACCAAGTTGGTAAGTCATATGCTTGTTTGTACAGTGAGTGTTAAAGGTACACTATTTGTAAAAAGATTTTTTAAAAAAACATAAAAAAAAAAGAAATGTATTTTATATTCCGCGAGGATGCATTAAAAGGTTTAAAAGTGAGTGAAGACTTTTACATTTTTACAATTTCGGTTTCAACTAGGGGTACGTTTACACGACAACGATATGCTTAAAACGGAGAAGTTTTTCCTTTTGAGTTTTCCGCGTACAGACGACACCATTGTCAAAACGATCCCCATTCACAAGGATCTGCGAAAACAACAAAAAACGCTGTATTCTGCTGCCAGGCCAGCCTGACTTCGTCATACTCATATTCTAGTCAGAATGTGAGTCTGATACTGCTCCATAGGGCTTTGATTATGAGGCGTGTCTTAATCGAACCAGGAAAAAAAAAACCTCTGCACTCAATTGGATAGACCTACAACCAATCAGGGCAACGCAGTAAGTGACGTATGTTGAGCGACTCATATCAACAGAACTGAACTGCACAGCACGCACTCACGAAAAAGTATTTAAAAGAAAAATGAGTGTTAACGACCTTTGCCGGTGTTGCAAAAAGAATTTAAGGATTCGCAGAGTACTTGCAAACTCGAAAAACATTTTTGAACGAAATAGAAAATGTGAATACGAACAAGTTCTCCGTTTAGGATTAGATCTCGACAGTAAAGCCAACAAATCTACTCGCATTTGTCTGACCTGTCTCAATTATATAGCAGGGTTGGAGCGTGACTTGACTGATTTTAATAAATGGAGAGACGACGAAAGACACCAGGCTGAAGAAGCGTGTTCATTTGAGTCTTCAGAGAAAAGAGACCGGGAGCCAAAATGATATTTTAATGATTATTTAAATACAAAACGATGAGTAATTCTTGTACTTTGTCTTGTTTATTTGTTCTGTCTTGCGTGGTGTTTTGGACATGAGTCTGGCAAATAAACTAAATTGAGTAACATCATCTAATTATTTATATTTAAAAAATAAACCGCTCATAAGGGGTACAGTGATTAACAGTATGGGTATGGTGTGCGAGTACAGTATAACAAAGCGTCACCATTGTTTGATGTAGCGATGGCTTTGACATGAGTTGCATCGCCCTGATGCCCATTTCGGTTGCTTCTTTTACTTGGTCCTCTATGAGTGCGACCAAAGGAGAAACAACAATGACAACAGGCTTTTTATTGCGTCCCATATTCTTAGCGACCATCGGAGCCAGCTGATAAATGAAACTTTTGCCGAATCCTGTAGGAAGGACGGCAAACACATCTTGACGATCGACAAATGCTTTTATTGCAGTTCTCTTTTCGTCTTTTAAAATTAATGCCCTGTCGATTTCTTTTACGACAGACGCGATAGCGGAATCTATAAATCTCAGTTCTCCAGCTGCTGTCATCTTTGAGGGAAACCAGTTCAAACCAAGCGATCTTTGATGATGTGAGGATTACGTAACTGCAGATCATCTGTCCATCATCGTATAAAGCCCACCCTGGCAATTTGATTGGCCCGAACATTTTTTGACTGATCATAATTACTCCTCAATGGATCGAGTCCAGACCGAACTTCCCGACCAAAAAATGTTGTGGGCGGGGTTCGGGCTGGCATCCAGTTTGCCAGGCCATTAGATGGCGATGAAACACTATAGACTGAACACGTTACATGCATGTGCATGACGTCATCGTTTTCAGAGATTTGCGAATTCGTTTTCAAAAGTTTGTGTTTTCAGGCACCCAAAACTCCGTTGTCGTGTAAATAAGCGGCCAAAACGCATACGTTTTACATTTTTTTTTGTTGAAAACTGTGTCGTATAAACTGCCCCTAAATTTCTGTCATGAATTCTGAAGGATTATGTGACACTGAAGACTGGAGCAATGGCTGCTGAAAATTCAGCTTTGAAATCACTAAGGGGCTGTTTTCACGACACCGTTTTCAACTAAAACTGTACAACTTTGTATGCGTTTTGGCCATTCATTTACACGTTTCAAACTGCAAGTTTTTGAAAACCGTCTCCTGTAAACAACAAAAACGTGATTCTCTGAAGATGATGACGTCATGCACATGCCACACGTTTTACGTGTTCAATCTATAGTGTTTCATCACCATCTAATGGCCTGGCAGCAGAATACAGGGTTTTTAGTAGTTTTCGCGGATCCGTGTGAATGGGGATCGTTTTGACAATGGTGTCGTCTGTACGCGGAAAACTCAAACTTCTCAGTTTTAAGCATATCGTTGTCGTGTAAACGTTCCCTAAATTATAGTATTACATAAAGAAATGACATTTTAAATCATATTAAAAATAGAAAAGTTATTATAAATTATTTTAGTGTTTAACATTACTGTTTTTATTATTATTAATAAATGCAACTTTGGTGTGCATAAGAGACCTGAAAAACGTGTTAAAAATCTTACCGACCCCAAACTGTTTAATGGTAGTGTACTTTCTAATTTAATTTAAATGAATTTTATGCATTTATTTGTTTAATTTTACTTCACATTTTTCAGAAAGCACTAACTAAAATGGTGAATGGACGTATCCAGGACAATCCAGTTGCTCTAAGAAACAAAGGTGGGTGCTTTATTACCAGTTTAGCAATCTAATCTTTGTTCTTGTTCAGAGTTAAACCTAACAATTTCCACGTTATTTTTAATACCTTTCTTTGCATTGTTCTCTCCCCACCTGTGTTGTAGACTATGAGCACATAGCTTTGAAAATTCATAGAAGAAAGTTAGAATTTTTCATGAAAAAAGGTAACCGCATTCGCTCAGGCTGTAGAAATGTAATTTTACATGGCTAATTGATCACTGCAGCTTATTAATTTAATTATGCTGTGACTGATTTGTATCAAGCACACTCTTAATGGAGTGTATTGGTGAGGTCTGTTTTGTTCAATATTAATGAATTCACTCAAAAACAGATGGGTTTGCAAATTCTGCATTCTAAGGGCCTGACTAACTAAAGCATTTATACGGTATAGTACATCTGTCACCCAGTTATGTTAAGATTGTTTTTTTTTACATGCTCTTTTCTAAATAGTTAAGTCTCTAGGTCTGGGTACACAGATCTGAAAACGCTCCATGGGTTTCTTTTGCTTTCCATTTTTCTAAAAGCTAATGCTCTGTCCATCAGGTGCCACTGTCAGCTCCTGGGTCTATCTCTGTGGTAAATAAAGATGGTGTGCTTTCAATGTGCATGTGATACACTGTAAAATATGAAGACTGTTGTTTCTTTATTTATGTTTCTGTCTGTTATTGGCTGTGTGTGATTCCTGTCTTATTGCAGAACAGTTTACAAAGAGAACCTGGAGTTAGTTTGTCTCTAATAATTTAGTTTTTCAAACCAGAAGTATTGATCCGCTATCAGATTCCTCTGCAATTCACTGTTATTGAACAAATACAATTCTAAAGGGATTGCTCTGAGATGTTTTTTGCACGTTCATTGTTTACTTCTGTCTTGCGTGTTGTTTAAAGCCTGCGTACCAGCATGCGAGTGTGAATTTGTTGTGCGCTCGCTCGACCGTGGTGGCTTTGGTTACAGTTTTGTCATATGAGCAGGGTGTGTGTGTGTCAGAATCAGTGAGCAGCATGAATCAACAGGTTACAGGTTTGGGAAACTCATGGCTATGTGTGGGCTTTGTTATGCTATTTAAACAGATAATCTTTGTTTCCACCTCTTTTACTAGGTGGCTCTGAGTCTGCCATCTCTGATGTGAGTCAAGTGACTGTCATTCACATTTATTCTTTATCAATATTCAAGCCTGATTCTGATTTATTAGTATGCTGCTACTGTCTAAATTTGACTTTTTGGTTCATTTATTCATATTGTTACTCTCTGGTATCAGCTGCAGGTTCCCTCCATCAGTTCCACCTCCTCTCGCTGGTCCTGGGATCATGAGGAAGAGAGGCGGCGGCAGGAGAAATGGCAGATGGAACAAGAGCGCCTCCTGCAGGTACCACCAAATACCATAACCAGTGCTGCTTTCCAATCCAAAATTGTCATGCCCTTCACTCGCTAACTTCCCTCCGTCTCGTTCACTCGGACGTCATTGCTTACTTTGCATGAGTGCCCACTACTGGTGGAAACTGTAATGGGATGAATTGGAACGTCCTAAGCCCTTGATCACTTGGAATCGGCTATGGAGTTGATTTTATTATTTAAAAAATGTTTCCCTTTAAGAATTTGTTTAATGCCACATCCAAATGTATATAGATGTGTTTGGGTTGTTTTAAATAAAATAAAATTAATAATTTAATATATCATAGTAGTTCGTGGTGGTGGTGATTCGACGAGATCTGCGGTGACGTCACAATCGTGTTGCATTGTGGTATATGGAGCTGACTGAAGTGTACATATGAAGTAGACTCGCTCCCTCGATTTTGACCGAGGGAGCGAGGGTCTGTCCATATAAACTTCCCTTGTCCACTTCACGAAGTGGAACGCACTTCAAAATGGCGGTGTCTAAAAGTGGACTGGAACGCAGCACAGATCTTGAATGCGAGACGTTTCAGAATAGATTTTGTTTCATAGTGAATTTTATATTTTTAGTTTAAGTTTTAGTTGGTATAGTTAAAATAGTCATTTGTTTATTATAATTAAGTATAATTATAATAGTGTGTGTGTATTTATTTATTTTATTAATTCCACACACACATAAACATTGAATTACCGATTCCAATCTGGTGTAATATCTTTGATAGTGTAATTCAGCCCATTGCGCTGAATGGAAGCGAGGTTTGGGGTCCACTCAGTGATCAGAGCTACACTAGATGGGACAGACATCCAACAGAAGCCTACACACATAATTCTGCAAACTTGTTCTAAAACTACAAAGGAAAACACCCAATAATGCATGTAGGGCAGAATTAGGCCGATTCCCATTGATTGTTAATCTGCAAAAAAGATCCCTCAAATTTTGGATGCATCTAAAATCAAATCCCACATAATCACTACATTTTAAGCATTACAAACCCAAGAACTGAACCCCGAAGTCCCCTCATACCCCTTTTCCACCAAAAACGAACTGGTTCGGAACTGGTGCTGGTTCAAAGTTGGTTCGGAGTTGGTTCAACTTGCGAACCTTCTCAGTTTTTCCACTGACTAGAGCGCCCAGCGAACGACGTCGTTATGTCACTGTGTACGTCGCCATACATCTTAGCTAGAAACGCTTGCAAGTACAACATTACTTTGGGATTATCTCTAACTCGTGAACCAAGAAGGCTTTGAAAACAATTGAAATATGTAAGTCTTTTAATATTTTCCTTTGATATGTAATCTTTAATGATTAGTTATGTACTCCTGTCTTGTGTATTTTTTTTCTTTCCATTTATTTGTTCTATATTGTGACTGTTTTCTTCTTTGTTTACATAACGTTTTCAATAAAAAAATTGATAAAAAAAAACTAGAAACGCTTGCGCCAACTTCAAGCATAACAATTACAATGGCGGACTACATCGTGTTTCTGCAAATGTTTCTCCTGGCTTTGCGATCCTATATTATGTCAGAAAATATGTTATCTAAACCCGCCCCCAGCCCCCGACGTAAGCATGACGTGGTAAAAGAACGGTTCTAGTCCAGCAAAGAGTTGGTGCCGCTTTAGAACCAGTTTTCCTGGCCGAGAACCGGTTCTTTGGCTGTCGAAACACAAAGAACCGGTTCGCGCGCAGGCACCGGCTCCGAACCGGCTCTCAAAATGCGTTGGTGGAAAAGGGGTATATGTCAGCTGGTTCTGAGACTTAACCTGACTAACTACTAACACTACTACTAACATCTACTAACACTAACCAGTTTCAGACTAGCACTGCTTCTCACACAAACTTCAAAATAAACCAAATTATCAAACAGTCTAATAATACATATCTGGAACATTGGGATCAGGAAACTAAAACACAAAGTAAATTACAATTCTATCGAACTCTGAAATCAAATTATGAATTGGAAGAATATCTCCAGAGTGTGAGAGAGACAAAGCAGAGACGGATCCTGAGCAAGTACAGGCTGAGTGAACAGTCTAGCCATCGAGACCCGCAGACACAGAAAGAGCTGGCTACCCCGAGAGCAAAGGGTGTGTGTTCACTGTAGGACAGGAGAGATTGAGGCAGAGATGCACTTTCTCCTTCACTGTCACAAATACAGTTCAATCAGAGACCTCTACTTAAACAAACTCACTAACTTAATACAGAACTTTACAGCCATGACTGAAATAGAACAGATAAAGATAATAATAGGAGAGGGACAGACCGCAGCACTGGTTGCCAGATACGTGTGTGTGTGCCACAGCCTGAGAGTGTGTGTAAAGTGTGTGTCTGACCTCAGTGTGTTTCTCTACTGTCCACCACAGTGACCCTCAGTAATGTGTGTGTGTGTGTGTGTATACATGTTAAAACACTGTGGTATCAAATTTTTACACATGTTCTAATTTGTTACACTGTTTATTTAAATTTAAGTTATAATATTTTCTTCTATTATTTAGATTTTTTTTTTTAATTATTATTATTCTATGTATTCCAAGCTTTGGCAATGTTGTATTTTACAGTCATACCAATAAAGCAATTTTGAATATATACACATACACTGATGGAGGGAATTTATTTTGCTGATAAATTTTTTTGTAATAAACTGTTACATTTAAAAAATGTTTGTCTGTGCTGGTTTCAGGAAAAGTATCGACGTGATCAGGAGAAGTTGGAGGAGGAGTGGAGAAGAGCTCAGGAGGAGTTTTATGGAGAGGAGCACGGTGCTCCTGAGGTCAGAGGATTGTCATAACTTGAATGTAAATTGTAACGTTGTATAAAGTGTTTGCATTACGTGCTCTGCAATACTCTGCAGTCATTATAAAATGGTGAATAGTGAACACTGTTATTATTTACTTTCTGCCGGTATTAGGAGCAGAAATGCCTTGCTGTGCTGTCCAATGGAAATACAACCTCTCATATTCCACCTCCCATTGCTACCACTTCAGTGGCATCCACTCAGATTGCAGAGAAGGTGGGAGCAGAACAGAACAGACAGGCCGCTGTGCAAATAGCAGCAGGACACCAGTCACTTAAGACAGAAGTGGAGTGCGATTCAACCACAAAGAGTCAGTGGTAAGAAATATGCCAAGCACAAGGTGAAAAATAAGTTGTAGCTGTTTTGTTGTTCATGCTGAGAAAATATTAGGATTTTGCATTTCCCTAAATCTTAGGCAAGTCTGGCAAAGCATTAATGCATATAATTTCAAAAGACAAGCCCACAAAATGAAGATGATTCAATAATTTCATTAAAGACATTGAATAAAAATATAATAAAGACCTAACATCACTTAATATATAGTATTCAACAGAAATCTTTTTGTTTAATTTCCATATCATTGAACATATCACTGGCGCCGGCACAGTCCACAGGAATCCATTTGAGTTTGCCAGCCAGTCTGAGGAAGTAGGCCGTTCACAAAGGACATATTTTTAGGACAGTTTTTAGCTGATGTTGAATCCAGCTGTGTTTTTCATCATCCTGCGCTATGAGCATGTTTTTAACAAAGCAAAATTAATAGCATTAGTTTATTATTATTTTAGCATTCGTTTCTTTTTTGATATCACACTAAATTACCATGCTAAATTGACAGCCCTAATTAATATGTATTGTCAATTTCTGAAGTAGTAGTGAAATACTCTTGTATTGAGTGCAGTGTGGAGTTGCATGTACATGTTACGGTTGCTTTGGTCATTGCTTGCATGTCTATCTATGTGCTGCTTCTGCTCTGTCCTGCTTCAGCTCAGAGGAGTCCTATGGGTTTGCCAAGCTTACCGTTTCCGACAGGTCAGTTTGCTTTTGTGGCTATATTTGCATCTTTTAATGGCTTTTGTGGCATAAGGAAAGATGTGATGTACAGTAGTAAATCTGGCAGCACTTCTTTAAGACAGTGGAAAATCTTTCAGTACAGAAATGTTACGTGTGTATTTTTCCCATTATTAAAATACTTTCTCACTTTAATGGGAAGAGAAAGTTGTCAGTAATTCAGTTTTATTTTCCATGAGAAATGTAAGCAAGAGAATGTTAACAATTCTGTTAACAAACGTTAATTCTGATTACAATTCCATTTAGTAATATTTCACATTGACCTATTATCTTTCTCATCACATTCAGTTCTGTCCTCATTGCAAGATATTTTGCAGGCATTTATTGTTGGTGATGCAAAAATAGCACACTTCACATTTAAAGTTAGGCTTGCAGTGGTGATGGCTTTTTTTTTTTCACTCTTTTTCTTTCATGTGCTTATTTTGCCTAGGACGAAGTCAAAATCTACCCCTGCACTTGAAAGCCTTCACAAACAAGATGCTAAAGGTCTCATTACTTTTCATTTTGATTATTCTTAGTCGAGTTCCTGAGAGTTGACTCAGGTACAATGCTCCTCTTCTCTGGCTTGTCCCTTCATTAGCTGCAGGGAGCGGTAAAAAGAAGGGACAGCTGTCACAGGCAGAAAAGGAACGTCTGCAGATCCTGGAGGAGATGAGGAAGAAAACGCAGCTCCTCACTGACGGCAGTTGGATCCGTCAGCGAAATGCCATCAACAAAGAGTCCATCACTGCGGGAACGTCAATCAAGAGGTCCCAATGAATAAACTGAATAAACATTTTCCCTTATACTGTTTAGCACAGATTCTCTTTGTCAGCTTACAAAGTACTACTGTTTAAATGTTTGGGATTAGTAAGTGTGACGCACTGAAAATTCAGCTTTGCCATCGCAGGAAATTTTTAAATATTTTATTTTATATTTTAATAGTTAAAATGTATTAAAATAGAAAACTTTTTTTTTTAATTATAATAATATTTCACAATATGACTGTTTTTTATAATGGTCAACCGATATTTTTTTTTTTTTTTTATTGCCGATATCTATATTATATATATTATATTAATAGTATTTAATACATTTTAAATAAATGTTTTAAAATCTTTAAAATATGCTTATACTTTAGATGGCCACTTCTTGATTCTTCAATCCTATTACAGTATTTTTCACAAAGAAAGTAATTGTTTAAAAATATATGAATAAAAAGGAAGTAAACTGTAATGGGACTCAGTAATCTGGTAAGTTTGTGCGCACTGGGAATCAAATTTTGTCAAATAAAGACAAGGTAACGCTAATTTTACACACAGCACACAGTCAAAATTGCATGAAAATGGATATAGCGCTGCATATTTTTAAATCAAAGGTTTAAAGTTTGTCGATCGTGAGTCTCCAGTGAAGCTGAACTCTCCTGTCTGCATTTAATTCACACAGACCGAACGTCACGCACAGAGTAACACGTTTATGCAGGCTACAAATGCGCACTTCAGAAAAGTTTGCAAGGTTTGTGAAAAATGTTTATTAGATATTCAGAGATTTGTTTAAATTACATAAATGCGTATTTGCTGAATGCTGACAGTAAATGAAGTATAATAGTGTTTGCCTTATATAATAATATAAAAGCAAACGCTATACTTTTTTGCATACCGTTTACTTTTTTTAATAGTTCTATCTAATAACGTATTAAATATGACTGTTGAACAAAAATCGTAAACGCTTCTAACACATCGGCCAATAAGAAAAACTTGTATATTGGTTGACCACTAGTTTTTACTGTATTTTGATTAAATACTGTAAATGCTGTCTTGTTGAGCAACTGGGCATAAGAGACTTCTTTCCAAAACGTAAAAAAAAAAAGTTACTGACCCCAAACTTTTGAATAATGGTGTACTTTTTGTCCTTTCCAGTCTGTCTTTAACATCTCAATCTCTTCACAGTTATGAATCGCTGGAGAACCTCCACTCGACCAGCTCCTGGTCCAGGCAGTCCTACACTTCAGGTGTCACAAACCGACCCCATTCTGCTCTGGGAAGCACTGGCTCTTACAGGAGTGGACGCAGCAGCTTGGGACCTGGCTCAGCGATCTTCTCTACTGGTCTTAAACAGGCCTTGTCAGCCTCCAACTTTCACACTCCACCAATCACAACTACTGCTGAGACCTCGGTCCCTGAGTCCCGTTCAAACTCTCAGCAGTGTGGCAGGTATGGACTAGTCAAAGCAACCAAAGCATTGCTTTATGTAAAATGCATATTCAGATACCTTTAAATACCTTTAAGCCAATTTTAAGTGCAGCTCTTTTATTTTTTGTCTTAAGGATCTCACTCTACCTGACCTTTAACCCCAGGTATTTTAGCAATCAATGACTGATCGGAATGGTATACTCGTGTACTGCATATTGCAGCATATAACGTGGCGTACACTACCGTTCAAAAGTTTGGGATCAGTGCAATTGTAAAAAAAAAAAAATTATACATATATATATATATATATATACTTGTATTCAGCAAGGATGGATAAATTGATAAAAAAAATGAGAGAAATATTTTTCAAATAAATTATCTTCTTTTGAACTTTCTATTCATCAAATCTTGAATTATTATTTTTTTTATCTCAAGTATCGTATCTTAGTATCTTAAAATATTAAAGGAATAGTTCACTTACAAATAAAAAATTCCTGATAATTTACTCACCCCAATGTCATCCAAGATGTCCATGTCTTTCTTTCTATAGTCGAAAAGAAATTAAGGTTTTTGAGAAACATTACAGGATTTTTCTCCATATAATGGACTTCAATGGCAACCAACGGTTTGAAGGTTTGATTTGTGGTTAAAAAGCATATAATTTTTATTTATTTTTTTTAGAAAATGACCGATCGTTTCGCTAGGTAAGACCCTTATTTCTCCTTTGAAGCTGCATTGAGACTGACATTTTAAACCGTTGGTTGCCATTGAAGTCCATTATATGGAGAAAAATCCTGGAATGTTTTCCTCAAACCTTAATTTAGAGTAAATTATCAGGAAATGTTTATTTGAAAGTGAACTACTCCTTTAAGCAGCTCAACTGTTCAACATTATAATGAGAAATGTTTCTTCAGTATATTAGAATAATTGATCTGAAGGATCATGTGACACTGAAAACTGGAGTAATGATGCTGAAAATTCAGCTTTGTCATCACAGGAATACATGTATAAATTTAAAAATGTATTAAAATAGAAAAGTCATTTTAAACAGCAAAAAATATTTCAAAATATTACTGTTTCTACTGTATTTTATCAGTCTTGAAGAATAAGAGACTTCTTTAAAAAAAACTAATCTTATGGAAAGTAGTGTACAAAATATGCTGCATTGTCTAATGTATTCCATACAGTGTTTGAAAAACAGTATGTGAAAGAGTATGCAATATTCAACAATATTTCTTGTAAATAGTTGTATGCTACAAAACCTCACTACGTTCCAGGCTAAATCAACCATTTGCATTCTAGTTTATCTTGGAAATACTGTTCATTTGTAATCTAATTTTGTGTAAAAAATTTGATTTTTTTGCTGTTTTATAAAAATGCAGTCAAAATGTAAAATGTGAAAATGATTATTGCCTCCACTCCATTTGTTACACTGAAAGCTCAAGTGGGAGAGTATTGCATTGTTGGAAGCAGTATCCCACACAACATGCATTTTGACAATTTGGGTATTCCATGCATGCTGTTAATGTGTACAGTATACATGCAGCATAGTATGGTAGTATGCTATTCCGAACCTTTCAGTACTCTGCCGCCAACCTCTTCTGTTAAATGCAGTCGAATCAGGGAAAGGGCAGAGCAAATGCGCTCTTGTTTCTGACATTGACACTGACTCTGACACTGGCATGTGGTGCCTGTAGGCTGCTCAGTGGCAGGCGGATGTGCTCGAGGTGCGAGCAGCCTCTAGGGAAGGGAGCCGCCATGGTCATCGATTCCCTGGAGCTCTGCTTTCACATTGGTTGCTTCAAGGTGAGACTAGAGGTCACCTGAAACTAAGAGCGAGCGGGCCCTTCCGTGGATCTGTTGCACCTAGCCTGGGTTTTTAACCTTCAGCATTTGGGGCAACAGGAGATCATTAGCCACCTAACATCAATAAATTCTTCTATTTTGCTGTAGGCAATCAGATTACAAGCATGCAAAACAAATTAGAAATGGTGTAGATTTCTATCCTAATTCATACTTTGATTCAAACCTGGGATTTATGTAAGAAAATACATCAATAAAACATTCCAGAACTCTTATCTGAACGCGTTTTAATTCCAAGTTAAACATTTTTTTCATTGAATTGAAAGACATCGTAAGTCCAGACTGTTTTCTGATTGCCTTATTGCCAATTAACTTGACAAACTAAACACTCCTTCTGGCTAACCTGACCAGAACCCTGCCAGTCACTGAACACACAGGCTTTTCTAAACGCACAACTATACCGCATTTTCCGGAATACATTTTTTTTGTAATCGAAAACATGCTGAGATTTATATTCCAAAATGACGCATGTAATGATTTGTTGTTAAGTGAGGGGTACCAAAATATGCATTTTTAGTGTTAATAATGGTTTTAAAAGCTTTGTTTTATTTATTTGTAAATTACATTATTTCTGAATGTAATAATAAAATGTGACATACACCCATTAAAAAAAAAAATTCTCTCAACAAATTATAGTGCGACTTATTTTCCGGAAAATAAGGTATTTGCTTTGATCTTTGGTCTCTTGCGTTCCTTCTAATGATGTTTGTCCCTTTTATATCCCTGTATCTGTTGCAGGGGTTATTTTGTTTACGGTAACCGGTAACTGCTTGTTTCTTCACTGCAGCACAGGACCGTTACATCACTGCTTCAACAGCTTACACTAAAACAAAAAAATCACCCTTTCATATGTAGCTATGGTGGAGGATCTGCTCACACTGACCCAATAATTAGCATTTCTGATTTGGGAGGCTTTGACTTTCTGCATTGAGTCATGGGAAGAAAAGGGTTATATCCTCTCATCTTGATGTGTATCCGGACTCACTGTTTCTTGTTGATCTTGCAGTGTGTCAGCTGCAGGACTGACCTTGGGAGAGGGATTGAGTCCGGAGCTCAGGTCAGAGTCCGACACAGACAGCTCTTCTGTAACAACTGCTACAGAGGTAAGCTGCAACCAACATATCATTATATAAACGTATACAATTCAGTGGTTGCTTTGAGTATCCATACTAGGATCGGTGTCAAGAATGCAAGTCTGCAGACTCGCCTTTATTCCTTGATTAAATGACACTGCTAACACTGCAAATAGTTACAAACTACTGCTTCATTCTATCCAAATGATTCTAGATCACTTGCCCTCACATATATTATGTATTATATTCAACACTTTACAATAAGGCTTCATTAGTTAACATTCATTAACTACTTTTAGTTAAAACAAACTAAGAATGAACAATATCCCCCCCCCCCCCCCTTATTATATTTTTTTTGTTTTCACAAAGAGAAAACAAATGAACGAATATTTTTATTAACTAACATTAACAAAGATTAATAAATACTGTAACAATGCATTAAGTAACATAAATTACAATAAGGTCTCATTTGTTAACATTAGTTAAATGTATTGCTCATTGTTAAAATGTATATTATATTATATTATATTATTATATATTTTTTTAATGTCCAACACTTACCAACTTACCAACACTGCATTTATAAAAACAGTAATATTGTGAAATTATAAATCTTATAAACAATTTAAATTAACATTTTCTATTTTTATACTTTTTAAAATGTAATATATTCCTGTGACCGCAAAGCTTAATTCAGTCTTGAGTGTCACATGATCCTTCAGAAATCATCGTAATGCTGCTTTGGTTCTCAAAAAACATGTCGTCTTATTATATCGACTGTTAAAAGGAGTATATACATTTATTTATTCTTATAATGTTTTTTTTTTCTGTATAATGTGGAACACAAAGACATTTTTTTCAAGAATCTTCACATAGATCTTAGAAGAGACCATGTGCCTAAAAAATCACTATTGAAGCACAGTGACTATTTTTGTGATGAACTCACTGAAATGTAAGTCATTATTCACAGATAATCTCAGCTGAATCTTTCTAAATGGTTTGGCGTCCTGACATTTGGTTTCAGAAACACTTGTAAATAAGTTAAAAACATCAAATGTCATTTGTCAATTTTTGTTTGAAAATTCCTTTATCGGTTTGATCCTTAGCTCAGTTACATTCATAAATGGAGGGCTCTCAGTGAAACCTGCTTTAGTTTTTAAGAGCAGCTCTATGCTAACTGAAAGACTCTATGCATTTTCTCTTAGTCTGTCCCTCCTTCTCCAAGTGACCAGAATGCCTTGCAACAGATGGAAGAGGAGTGTACCACAGAAACGGCCTCAGGAATCTGAACCATCAGTAAAATCTAAACACTGCAGCAGGCTTTATCCACTGCTTACTTTCACGGCTTTGACAATCAATACATTGAGACTGATATTTCTGTGATTGTTCTCATAGCATGACCGCTATAGTGAAGAGTTAGAACATGTTATTGTGATCACTGCTGAAACCCCTGAGGTTGTTTCTGTACTGGCTGACATCCGTGGTGAGATGTAGTAAGATGTCATGCTGAACAGTTATGCATTCCATGTGGCAAGTAATAACATGTCTAATCTGTCTAATGACTCCCTAAGAACTGTTTTATATTTTATTTTTTGATGCAAGTCCTTGTTGAGACCTAATATGTTTAGCATATATGTTATTCTCTCATGTCTTTAATATAAGCTTTCCTCTCATAATTATTTAATAAATGTTCTAGCACACTTTATTTGGTAATGAATCACTTTTTTCCCCCTCTCATTGATAGAAATCACATAGTGGTGATGGTGGAGGGAACGGGATGTAAAGGTTAAGTCATTGTTTTGTATCAATCAATTAAGAGGAATCTTATGCTAAAGTTTTAAACAAGCTGCTTAACAATAGATGGTAATAATGTGAAATTTATTTAGGCTTACAGATTTTGAAATGTTCTCCAGTAGATGGCACTCTGGGTGTAACTGGCATACATCTGTTTCTTTCCATAGAATAGATGCTAGGTTCTGCCAATCAGATGGCTTGCTAATAGAGGTTCTATTGCATATAATTGTAAGATCAAATTACCTGGGATGGTTCTTTCCAAGCCCCTATGCTGGACATTTCTGTTGGAAATATATGTGGGATTTCAGTCTCTCTCCCTGTATGTCATAGCCTAGTTAAAACTGGCTAAACTAATAAGTGTTGCCATGGAAATAAAGCTTAATTTTAAATACAAAATTATGGACTGAAACTGTTTTCACTGAAACCCCCTTATTTCTTTTGAAAACATCTTACTGCAGCCCGTTTTTATGTGTATCATTATCTCTTCATATCCTGAAACAGATACATACTTCAGTCCTAATTTGGGTAATTTAAGAGTGGCTGTAGAGCATCACCGGACTTTTCTGCTTCCTGTCATTAACTTGCTCCCACAGTCGTCTCCATTCCCACCACTGTAAACTCATTCTCAATGGCTCTACAGTGCAGCACTTAATTGCCCTCTGGAGTGTTGGCATAGTAACAGCTTCATGCGTTGCTTTTTGCGGAATTTACCGTTTAATTTTTTTTATTTATTATTATTAATAACTCGCGTGATTAAAGGGATAGTTCACTTTGAAATTAATTTTTGGTATGTTTTAGCTTACCTCAAGGGCATCCAAGATGTAGGTGTCTTTGTTTCCGTTCTTGTCTGTCAGTCATATAATGCAGGTCTATGGTCACTTCCTCAAAGAGCATGCACCGAGAAGTCCCAATTAAACATAATTTAATGACTCGTAAATGTAAGTACACATTGATGGCCTAAGACACGAAACGAGCAGTTTGTGTGAGAAAACGAACAGTATTTATATCGTTTTTACCTCTTGTAAACACAGCCACGTCCAAGTGATCTGAGGTCGCCGGCGCTTCGGTCTTTTCCGGAGAGCGCCGGAAGTGATCTCTCGTGCGTGTACGTCACTCATACAATTGTTTTATTTTTTTAATTGTTTTCTTTTACGACGGTTTAAACATCCCGGATAAGCGCAAATTAGTACCATTTTAATTAGTCGTCTTACCTACAATCTCTGTTCTGTGTAAACAATGAGTGACGTACACGCGCGAGAGATCACTTCCGGAGCTTTCCTGGAAAAGACCGAAGCGCCCGCGCCCTCAGATCACTTGGACGTGGCTGTGGTTACAGGAGGTAAAAACGATATAAATACTGTTCGTTTTCTCACACAAACCGCTCGTTTCGTGTCTTAGGCCATCAATGTGTACTTACATTTACGAGTCATTAAATTATGTTTAATTGGGACTTCTCTGTGCATGCTCTTTGAGGAAGTGACCGTAGACCTGCATTATATGACTGACAGACAAGAACGGTTTGACCTAAAAATATCAAAATTGAAACTACTGCGGAAACAATGACACCTACATCTTGGATGCCCTTGAGGTAAGCTAAAACATACCAAAAATGAATTTCAAAGTGAACTATCCCTTTAAGCGTTCCAATTGGTTTTGGTGGAAAAACAACCCAATATTTAAATGAGGAACATCATCTGCAATGGCGGGAATACGGCTTTGTTCTTCTGGTGTTTTTATCCTGGCATATCCAGTTGATTAGCACCGGTATAAATGGTGCACATCTGCCACATACTTGCCTGGAGAGGGAAGCACTGGATTTGTGGGTGAACGGTTCCTTTAAAAGGGGTTTACTGTGAGAATATTTTATATTTGCACAACTGTGATAAGAAAATGCTGTTTTGATGAACATATGGTGCTCTTCCTTCCCTCTCAATACATAGTTCCCACATGACGTCACAACATACGGGCATTTGCCGACCCGGCGCCATTTCTGTGGGCATGTTTCGGGCAGAATATTAGAAGAAGCTGAAACGAGTTAATTTCGTGATAAAAAGTGAAAATGGTCATCTCCTGCTGGGTCAATGGATGTTCAAATCGTGCCGGAGGTTCAGTTAAATTTGGATTTTACAGTATACCCGTCTTTAGACTTCATGAATGTGAGAAGTCTAAGCTTTTGTCAGAACAACGACGGAGGTTATGGCTGCGAGGATAAACAAGTTAACACTTTGCAGTTTAAATGATGTCCTGTATTAACATAATGACGAGGTATTAAAAACAACAGTTTCCACTGTTCGATCGCGCGTGCGAATCACACACACACACACACACACACACACACACACACACACACACACACACACACACTAGCATTGCAATCTCTGATTATGTCCCTAAAGAACTCACGTATAAAGTAGTTCCGCATTACATTAATTAATTTGCACGCGAGTTTTATTTATTTTTATACCGTGTATATTCATGCACTGAACCGTGACGCACGTACAGTTTCGGTTCAATACGAATACATGTACCGTTCCAACCCTATTCTTCAGTGTACAAATAAGTACATGCATATTACAGAAAGCACCGATGACTGTTATAAGGGCTGTTATGAAGGCTATGGCTTTTTAATAGACAGATAGTCTAGCATCACGCTACATACATTCGCTATGATGACTACTTTTCCATTGATTGCACTTGAGCAAACGTCACCAACCCAACCCTCGACAAACTAATTGTATGCCTCCAGTGATTTCCAGGCTCGGAATTGCTCACATGTGTATAAAATACCAGATAATGGTAACGTTACACATGATAATACTGTATGAGGCAAAGCTGCATAATCAGTGCTCGGTCCTTCCTCCACACCATTTATGACTGAAATTTTCGCATTGTACCTCTCTCTGTCTTGTGTTAATAGACACTCTTTATAATCTCTGCCACTTTGTCTCTTCATGATTTTCGTAACATTATAAACCGAAAGAAATATTCGAAATTTGCTTGTAAAACTTTGTAAACAGAGCAGCTTATGCCCTCAAAGATGGTGTCTCCGGGGAGGTCACGTGACATTAATTGGCCTGTGGGAACTATGTATAGAAACAGCTATATCTTCCCTCAGTAGCCTGTTCTTCCCAGAATTGTTGTGGCAGTTATGACCTTAGTGCACTAGCCGCAAGGGTTCACATCACCCATAAAGCACGGCATTCCGCTCATGCGTGCAACCAAGTCTCAGATGTGTCCTCTTGCTTAGTTAGCCAGTGACGCTCGCTTCATGCAATCTGAACTTTCTATCTGCTAGCTGAGGTCAACAGATTCCCTCTTGAGAGACCAAGAGACAATTGGTATCATTCTTCAACGGATTTAAATATATCCAAATAACCCTGGAATTGAATTTTGTATATGGGGGATATAAAAGCCAGCCTTGGTCAGATGATGCTAAACAAAAGAAGGCCACTCAAATCGAATAAAGTCTCTCACGATGGTGCCTGCCACGGCTTGTTTTTATTTGTCCACTGTCTGCAAAAGTCTCCCTATTTAATTAGCATAAGCTATTTTAGCCCTTTTTTATTTATTCACGTTGACATTTAATCTCTCTATCTGTTGTGCTCAAGACCTGTATATTTGTACCATTCCCTTTAGCCACTTCATAAACACATGGCCTTTTTTAAGGGCACGGTAGCACTTCTGTGACTTTATATGGGAGTGCAGCGAGGTTTCATTTATTTATCTTTTTCTTTACCGTCATGGCAGATCTAGGCTTTCCCACTAAACCCCTAAAGCAGCGTAATGGTTCTCGGCCAAATGTAGGATGTTTTGCTTTACCTTGCAAAGCATATCCGCAAACAAGAAGCTGCTTGGGAACAGCGTTTGAGAAAATATAGGATCCCACCAGTCTGTGCATATTGTGGTCTTTCTGCGTATCACTCCGAAATGGTCTCTCAGACTCTCTATTACAGGGAAGTCTGAATCCACATGACATTGTAGATCACTGTTCCACAGGGCAGTGACATGTTGAACTGAAGGAGTGAATTGGTCTCGGCGATCACTTTCCTGTTACTGTTTTGGTGCCTTTTGTTGAAGAGAGTATTCCTGGAAATCCATGTTAACTGCATTGTCTATGTGGAAAATGCGCATTACTGAATTTTCCCATAGGAATGAATGGAAATTCAGGACACTCTATCCTTAAACTAAACATGTGCAGTTACAAATGATTAATGACTTTTAATAGTTTAAATCCAAAGAAATGTCCTCTGGGTTAAACTCCATTTCACATCACAGGGTTTTCTTTCTGTCTTTCTTTCTGTCTTTCTTTGTCTTTCTGTCTGTCTTTCTTTCTGTCTTTCTTTCTTTCTTTCTTTCTTTCTTTCTTTCTTTCTTTCTTTCTTTCTTTCTGTCTGTCTGTCTGTCTGTCTGTCTGTCTGTCTGTCTGTCTGTCTTTCTTTCTGTCTGTCTTTCTGTCTGTCTTTCTGTCTGTCTTTCTGTCTGTCTTTCTTTCTGTCTTTCTGTCTTTCTTTCTTTCTTTCTTTCTTTCTTTCTTTCTTTCTTTCTTTCTTTCTTTCTTTCTTTCTTTCTGTCTGTCTGTCTGTCTGTCTGTCTGTCTGTCTGTCTGTCTGTCTGTCTTTCTTTCTGTCTGTCTTTCTGTCTGTCTTTCTGTCTGTCTTTCTGTCTGTCTTTCTTTCTGTCTGTCTTTCTGTCTGTCTTTCTGTCTGTCTTTCTGTCTGTCTTTCTGTCTGTCTTTCTTTCTGTCTTTCTGTCTGTCTGTCTGTCTGTCTGTCTTTCTGTCTGTCTTTCTGTCTGTCTTTCTGTCTTTC